ACGATCCCACCACCACGAAGGAAGAACAGCCAGGAGCGGAGTGCACCTGTTGGACCCAGGATCCCTGTGCTGAGAAGCTCCTGGAACCAAGAAATAGAAACAGAGAGAGAGCTTTAACACTGAAGACGGTGAGAAGTGGTGGCAGAGAAACGGCGGCAGGAGAGACTGAAAGGAAGTGGAGCGAGAAAGGTGAGTGCCTCTGGGCAGGAGGCTTGCTGGCAGAGTAGGGTGCCTCCAGGTACTCGGTGGAACTAGGTCTGAGGACCTACGGAGCTGGAGCTTAGCACCTTTAGGCCAAGGCTGACTGACAGAATGGGGTGTCTTTAGACACTTATCAGCAGAGCTAAAAGAACTTTTTAACACTTGTTCCAGCAGGGAACTCAGGGACAGGGAGAAACATGCCTGAGAGCACGGCTGGGAAGAGTCTGTCCTGATGGAAGAACTGTCTCCGGAGCATTCCTCAACCTGAATTGTACCGATACTTCCCTAATAAACCCCGTAATCGTATTGTCTGTAAGGTCTGTGTGGCCACTGCAAAGAACTGTTGAACCCAGCAGAGAAGTAGAGAGTGCCACGGGAGAGACAGCTGGTGTCAGAATTGGTAGAGGGGACAGAGAGGAGGCTTGTCTGATCTCCACCTCAAAGGAATCAGGACTGTTGATCATGATTTTTCTTCCTCCTTGGGAAGTTAGAGGAGGTCTGATGGTGCCCCCGCGTGGTTGGTACACAACTATTCATCAAAGGGTAGAGAAAAGGAATGAAAAGATAAGTTACATACTAGAAGAAAAATTCCCAAAGTCTGTAAGAAGATCTGAAAAGTGAGAAATAGAAATTAACACTGGGAAAACATGCAAAGCCTAGTCAGGAATAGAGTAGTGTAATTACAGAGTAAAATCAAAGATACCATTTCACTCTCTCTGCAAGAACAAAAATTCATTAGATAAGCAGATGCAACAAATAAATTCCATATGCATACTTAGTGAGAAGAAAAAGTTGTAAAATACATCAGTATTTCCTAATAAACATGAACACAGCTATAGCAGAATATACGAAGTATGAATCTACGAAAGCTGGAAATCGTCAAAAATGAAATAGAACAGATAAACATTGATACTCTAGGCATTAATGAGCTGATATGGACTACTATGGGCCAGTTTAAATCAGACAATCATGTGGTCTACTGGGCTGGAAATGACAAACTGAAGAGGAATAACATTGCATTCATCGTAAAAAAGAACATTTCGAGACCTATCCTGAAGTACAATGTTGTCAGCAATAGGATAATATCCATACGTCTACAAGAAAGACCAGTTAATAAGACTATTATTCAAATTTACACACCAACCACTAATGCCAAAGATGAAGAAATTGAAGATTTTTACCAGCTTCTACAATCTGAAATTGATCAAACATGCAATCAAGATGTATCAATAATTACTGCTGATTGGAATGCAAAAGTTGGAAACAGAAAAAGGACTGGTAGTTGGAAAATATGGGCTTCAGTGACAGAAACGATGCCGGAGATCACATGACAGAATTTCACAAGACCAATGACTTCAAATACCTTTTTTCAACAACATAAACAGCACTGTACACGTGGACCTTGCCAGATGGAATACACAGGAATCAAATCGGCTACATCTGTGGAAGGAGCCGATGAAAAAGCTCAATATCATCAGTCAGAAGAAGGGCAGAGGCCAGCTGGGGAACAGACCATCAATTGCTGGTATGCAAGTTCAAGCTGAAGCTGAAGAAAATTTGAGCAAGTCCACGAGAGCCAAAGTACGACCCTGAGTATATCCCAACTGAATTTAGAGACCATCTCAAGAACAGATATAATGCATTGAACACTAAAGACTGAAGACCAGACGAGCTGTGGAATGACATCAAGGACATCATATATGAAGAAAACAAGAGATCCTTAAAAAGATAGGTAAGAAAATGTTCTGCATCCCACTTTGGTGAGTGGCATCCAGGGGTCTTAAAAGCTAGTGAGCGGCCAGCTGAAACGCATCAATTGGTCCCAACCCACCTGGAGCAAAGGAGAATGAAGAACCCCCAAGACACAAGGAAAACATCAGACCAAGAAACAAAGACTACATAAACCAGAGACTCCTTCAGCCTGAGACCAGAAAAACTAGATGGTGCCTGGCTACCACCAATGACTGCCCTGACAGGGAACACAACAGAGAGTCCCTAATGGAGCAGGAGAAGTGAGGTGCAGGACTCAAATTCTGGTAAAAAGACCAGACATAATGGTCTGACTGAGACTGGAGGAACCTCGGAAGACACGGCCCCACTCCTATTAACCCAGAACTAAAACCATTTCCAAAGCCAACTCTTCAAAGATTAGAGTCTACTATAAGAAATAAAATGATACCCGTGAAGAGAATGCTTCTTAGTTCAAGTAGATACACAAGACTAAATGGGTAGCTCCTCTCCAGAGGTGGGATGAGAAGGTAGAAAGGGGCAGGAGCTGGTTGAACAGATATGGGAAACCTGGGGTGGAAAGGGGCAGTGTGCTGTCACATCATAGGGATTGCAACTTGGGTCACATAACAATGTGTGTATAAATGTTTGTATGAGAAACTAACTTGAACTGTAAACTTTCACCTATAGCACAATTAAAAAAAAAAAAAAGGAAAGAACGAAAAGACCAAAGTGGATGTCAGAAGAGACTAAAAAACTTGCTCTGTTTTAACACGAGTAACTAAAGAAGAAATGAGCAGAGCATAAGATTTCAAAGGACAGCTCGAGAAGATAAAAGTATTATAATGACACATGCAAAGACCTAGAGACAGAAAACCAAGAGGAAGAACACGCTCGGCATTTCTCAAGCTGAAAAAACTGAAGAAAAATTCAAGCCTCGAGTTGCAATACCGAAAGATTCTATGGGCAAAACATCGAACGATGAAGGAAGCGTCAAAAAAAGATAGAAGGAATACACAGTCACTGTACCGAAGAGAACTGGTCGATGGTCAATCATTTCAGATGGTAGCCAATGATCAAGAACCAACAGTACTGAAGGAAGGAGTCCAAGCTACACTGAGGACACTGGCGAAAAACAACGCTCCAGGAATTAACGGAATACCAATTGAGATGCTCTAGAACAGATTCAGCACTGGATGCGCCACTGTCTATGCCAAGACATTTGGAAGATAAGTTACCTGGCCAAACGACCGGAAGAGATCCATATTTATGCCTATTCCAAAGAAAGGTGATCCAACAGAATGTGTAAATTATCAAACAATATCATTAATACCACACACAAGTAAAATTTTGCTAAGGATCATTCAAAAGAAGTTGTAGCAGTACAATGACAAGGAACTGCCAGAAATTCAAGCCGGATTCAGAAGAGGACATGGAACGAGGGATAGCACAGCTGATGTCAGATGGATCATGACTGAAAGCAGAGAATACCAGAAAGATGTTTACTTGTGTTTCACTGACTATGCAAAGGCTGTGTGGATCGTAACAAATTATGGATAACATTGTGAAGAACGGGAATTCCAGAACTACTTAATTGTGTGCCTGAGGAACCTGTACATAGACCAAGAGGCAGTTATTTGAACAGAACAGGGTTTAAAGTCAGGAAAGGTGTGCGTCAGGGCTGTATCCTTTCACCATACCTATTCAATCTGTATGCTCAGCAAATACTCAGAGAAGCTGGACTATATCAAGAAGAATGCAGCATCAAGATTGGAGGAAGACTCATTAACAACCTGTGTTCCGCAGACAACACAACCTTGCTTGCTGAAAACGAAGAGGACTTAAAGCACTTACTGATGAAGATCAAAGCCTACAGCCGTCAGCATGGATTACAAGTCACTGAAGAACCCAGAGTAACAACTGAATTTATACAAAGCTCAAAAGACGCAAAACTAAACAATAGAGAGTTTATCGATTAAGACTTGGGCGATAAACGTATAATACTAACAATAATATTGGTAATACTCATAAACTTCTAAATACAATCATAACAATCTCCAGGCAGGAGGAGAGGATAACTTTCTCAAGATTTAAGTAACTTTGGAGTAACTTATATGTAAGTTAAAATAAGCATTCCTCGGTTTGGGAAGTTTATATCCACTAAATTGAAAAATGCTCAGTAGAAACACAACTAGTGATCTAGAAATTTTCATCTACTGGAAACTGTACATCCAAGGGCTTAAATACACAAATCTTGTATGATAAGAGAACACTTTCATTTCAGATTCTAATTAAAGACTATGGAGAACATCAACAATTAGAGGATAAAATCCCAGCTCGAGGCACAGGTGGGAGGACAAGGACCTACACTGGGGAGTCGTGCTTTCCACACACCGGAAAGCCTCAAGGCAAAAGTCTTCCCCACTGGGCGAAAAAAAAAGGGTCTAGAGACCCCGCACAGGACCCAGCTGGACTCCGTGCCCACCTTCATGCCTTTGTGACTTCAGGAGAACACCCACATCACCAAGGACCCCATGAACAGTCAGGGCCTTCCCCTAAGAATGCTCCCCCCCTTTTCTGACCCATAACACACTGTGAGGGGGGGCCTGTAGTTTTAGAACTTCACAGAAAATGCTCCAGTACCTGGGGGGAGTCAAGAACACTGCTCAGAGAGATGGGACAAGGATGGCTCTGGAGGGTGGGGCTCAGCCTCCACAGCCAGAGCTGCTCCAACTTCAAGCTCTGGTCAGGAGACTCTGGTCATTCAACACAGAGCACCAAGGCCCAGGGTGGGGATATTAACACCCCACGGTGCCAGCTCTGAGAGTCACATAAGGAAGGTGACCACAGCATTCACATCTTGAAAAGCTACATGTGTATAGAGGAAAGGTCCAGTGACAGTGGAGCAGGGCCTCAAAGTGCCTCCTAGGGCTCTGTCCCCTGGCCTCCTCTGCCACCTTTTTTGTTCACTGAGGAACCACAGTCCCGCAGCACACAGCTGCTCCCCCAGCAATTCATATCCAGCCTCACGCGCTTATGGTAAGGATAACCCAGTTCTCCGTAGAACTCACCATTTCCTTCTCCAGCTTCTGGAAGTCTAACGGAATGTCGTCTCTGAGCCCAAGAAGCCACATCAGGAAAAGGGACAGGAGTGGGAACAGAGCACTGGGCAGTTTGGAGGCAGATGAATAATGTTTGGTCCACACACCAGCCAGAGCAGTTGAAATCCTTCCCGGTGACTTACGGATGTGCAAGATGGGCACCCTAGTTCCCCAGCTGCCTGGACTGGACTCCTTCTTCCTGTACCACACCTGAGACCTGAAATGGAAGAAGGATGGGGAGGAAAGTGTTGAGGAGGCAGGGAGTAACAGGTCTCTGGCCTCCTCCCAGGCTCAGAGCCATGCTCCACCCTGAGGGCATTTGCACTGAAGGCAGAACAGGCTCCAGCCTCCAGAGCACACGCCTGCATTCTTCATGCGGCTCCAAAGGCGTCTTCTTTCTGCCAACAAGGTCACAGACATAGGAATTTACTGCCTGGCCATGCTGCAAAACTTAAACCTGATTTCCTCCAGGGAGTCAGGAGATCAGTGTTGAAGCTGTGGGTTCACTTCTGTAACTTTGTCCCTTATACATCAACACACTCATTGTTATTTGATATTAACGTGGGTGAACTGTCTGGAAGAACACGTTTTTCGAAGTTTGTCAACGAACTCATCATAGTTCATTCATTTTTAATTACGTGCAGTTAAAACTTTTTTATTATGCTTTTTAAAATTGTTTTTCATTTACAGCATCGTAATATGCGGCAGGTAGTTCTCCTGTTGCTTTTGCAATTCACATTCTTTCCTCCCCTGGAGTCTTTCCCTCCTCTCCTTTGTTCTCAAACCATGACACCACTAATCTCTAAACTTTTGAGAAATCTGGGAGGATTCCAGAACGCACTGTTTTTCAATCTTATAATCAATCAATCAGGAAATCATGAGGTTTTCTCTGAGGAGCATCTCTCCCCGGTGTTCCCGTTTCTTTCCACCCTGCTCCCCTCCAAGCTGCCTCCTAGTCTTCCATTTCTTGGCCTCAGGTCAATGTTCTCTCTCGCGCGTCATCTTTACGTCAGCATCTCCCCTTTCAGCATTACCCTTCCTTTTATCACTTTCTCTAACAGCCCCGAGAAGCACGCGTGTGCGCGGCGAGGGTTCCCACGACCTCACCTGTGAACGCACCGAGAGAGCCCAGAGGAGTCAGCAGGAAGCGGCCAGGCGGCGGCGGCTCCCCGGCTACAGGGAGTCCCGAGGCTCTGGGAGACCAGGAGTGCGCGGGGAGCGGGCGCAGCGCCCTCAGACCCGGGACAGGACCTGCGGGTCACCGGCTAGCGGAGCAGGCCGACCGGCGACAGGACCACACCGACCTCACAGACGAGCAGCATGGACACGACCGGAGCTGCCGACCGAGGACGCTCACTTCCGCTTCCGGTCTCAGGGACTGTCGGTGCTCAGGGTAAAGCTTCCGTGCGGGAACCCAGAGCACTACAACTCGGGACCGTTGGGTTCTTTGGTTCCCCCTCGTGTTTGGTGTTTGGCCCCGGTTGTCCATATTTCCTCTTCATTGCCCCAAAGGAGCTGTTTTAGACTTGTTTTCCCCCCAAATTACCCATTAAAATTAATACCTGAGACATACTACCTCGATCTTTCTCTCTCAGCTTCTTTGTTTGCTTTCTGTTATTCCTATCAGAAAATTTAGAAAAAGTACCCCATCCCCCTAAAGTTATTACAAGTCTGAGGGATACCTGTTAAGAAATGACCACTAAGATATGCCAGGTGGACAAGGCTGAATTTCCGGACCCAAATGGAGATATGTTGAAAACAGTGTCTGTTCTTTGCAAACTCCTGTTTCAGGGATTCTTGTTTAAACGCATGCTTCCTTTATTTTAAAAAATGAAATAAATGTATACTTTCTTAGGGGCATTGAGCTGGCCATGCATAATATACGGTTGCCCGCTAGTGGTTAAATTCATCTACTTATTTAAATCAGCCATCGCTCCATAAGGAGTAGATTAAGAGATGTTGGTGAAGAGGAAAGGATAAAAATTGTTATTTTTTTGAGTTATTATATATGGTTGGAGCATAAAATGTATGTGACTGGGTGATATGGTTAATTAATTATCCAGTCTGAAGTGTTTTGAGGGACGGCAAAGGTTTGTATCATTTAACATATGATGTTTTTAACACGGCTTCAAAATAAAAAATCAAAAGAAACCAATCCCATTGCCATTGAGTCAATCCCGACTCATAACAACCCTGCCTTGTAGGGTTTCCTGGGCTGTCCTCTTTATGAAAGCAGATCACCAGGTCTTTCACCTGCAGAGTCTCTGGTGGGTTTGAATCCTTGGCCTTTCGGCTAACAGCTGAGTCCCCAACCACTGTACCGCCAGGGCTCCTTGGCTTCAAAACAGCTGATATCAAAGCAAGCAATACTGCCAAAAGAATGAATACATGAACTTTAGATGAAATATAACAGAAATGATCCTTAGAAGCAAGGATGGCGAGACTTCATCTCGCTTACTTTGGACACGTCATCAAGAAAGACCGATCTCTAGAAAAGGACATCCTGTTTGGTCAAGTGGAGGTCGGTGATAATGAGGGAGACCCTCAAGGAGATGGACTGACACAGTGGCTACAACCACAGACTCACACACACCAACACTGTGCGGATGGCGCAGGACAGGGCGATGTTTCGTTCTGTTATACATAAGGTCGCCGTGAGCTGGAGCCGACTCGGCCACTAACCACCACCACCACCACCTACGGGCTGTGTGCTGAGTCTTTTACAGATATTATCCCCACGGATCTTCGCAACAATCCTATGATATACGTACTGTTAGTGTTTGCATTTTGTAAATGTGACAAGTGAAGCTTAGGTAGGTTAAGGAAATTTCCTCAAAGTCACCTGGCTGGAACCTCCAGCATTCTGGGTAGCCTTCCAGCACATTCACCATCTGGACTGCCCAGCAACTCCTCAATACACATAACAAAACAAACAAACCCATTGCCATCCAGTTGATTCAGACTCATAACCACCCTATAAGACAGAGTAGAACTGCCCTACAGGGTTTCCAAGGAGCTGCTGGTGGATTCAAACTGCCAAACTTTTGGTTAGCAGCCGAGCTGTTAACCACTGCACCACCGGGGCTCCTCGCTACACAGAGGCCCAGACATACAGAGCTTGCTTTGAAGAGCAAAAGGAGCCTGGGTGGCACAGTGGTTAAGTGTTCGCTGGTAACCAAAAGGTCGGTGATTCAAACCCACCAGCTGCTCTGTGGGAGAAAGATGTGGCAGTCTGCTTCCATAAAGATTACAGCCTTGGAAAGCCTATGGGGCAGTTCTGCTGTGTCCTACAGGGTCACTAGGAGTTCGAATCAACTTGACGGCAATGAGTTTGGTTTTTTTGGAGAGTAACAGAGCAGATGGGACAAATGGCTATACATGCTTGCTTCCTACCACTCAAGACATTAGAAAAAGAATACAAAAATAATTAAACAATTAAATAAACAGTTATCACCAGGAATCCAAAAGGTGAACAGAAAGCATTAAGACAGACGGACATTTAATCATCTGGAATTGGAGATGAACTCATCGGCCCGCATTGCACTCACTGCAGATATGAAACGGCCAAGCGTGGCAGACTCCGATCGCCTGGTCTCTAACATCACTTCTCGTTACGACTCCCCAGCCGAGCGCTCCCCATCTTTGTCACACAGGCAGAACGGGAACACCCCACAGCAGGGCTTCAGACACACCCTGTCCCCGTTTAACTCCGACAGCTGCTCCTGGGTGGGAACCACCGATACCTGGTGATCCCTCAGGGCGGGGGCCACCTTCTCAGTCACCAGGTCGAACAGGGGCTCTGTGTCCCTGGAGAGTGGGGGGGTGGGTGGACACAGAGGGATCCCAGGAGGAGATCAAAGAGCAGAGGGGGGTTGTGGTGGGTAACGCTCTGCCCCGAGCACTGGCAGAACTTGGTCGTGTAGCAGGCTTGAGCTCCCGGTGGCTGGAATATTGGGGTCACGTAACGAGCCTTCCGAACAGCCCCCCCTGGAGAAGACAGGACCATCAGACACATCCACCACACCTGCCCACTCCCCTCTCTCTCCCTCATCTTCTTCAGCATCTTTCTTTGCACCCCGGTTCGTGCTAAATATTATTCTATCTGTAGAGCCAGACTCAACCAGTTGCCCTTGAGCTGACTCCCACTCACGGCGCCCCCACATGTGTCAGAGCAGAACTGGCCTCCACAGGGTTTTCAGGGGCTGATTTTTCAGAAGTAGATCTCCAGGTCTTTCTTCCAAGGCACCTCCGGGTGGACTCGAACTTCCAACCTTTCAGTTAGCAGCCAAGCATGTTAACCATTTGTGTTTCTCCTTGGAAACCCTATGGGGCAGTTCTACTCTGTCCTATAGGGTCGCTAGGAGTCGGAATCAACAGCAGTGGGTTTGCTTTTGGTTTTTTATACCTGTGACTGTAACCCTATCTGGGAATAGGGTTTTCTTTATTATGTGAATGAGACCTTATCAGTGTAGGGTGTGTCTTAAGCCAATCACTTCTGAGCTATAAAAGGAGCCAATTAGGCACAGAAGCAAGCAAGCACAGATGAGGGAAGACAGATGCCACATGGAGATCACCAAGGAACAGCGGACCAGAAGCTGGAAAGAGACAAGGACCTTCCCCCAGAGCCAACAGAGAGAGAGCCTTCCCCTAGAGCCGGCACCCTGAATTCAGACTTCTAGTCTCCTAAACTGTGAAAAATAAATTTCTGTTTGTGAAAGCCACCCCCTTGTGGTATTTCTGTTACAGCAGTGCTAGGAGACAAGACAACAGGTGAATCAGTGCTTTCTTGAGGTTGTTGTTGTTAGCTGCTGTTGAGTTGACTCCAACTCATGGTGACCCCATGTGTGCAGAGCAGAACTGTGCCCTGAAGGGTTTTCTTGGCTGAAACCTTAATGGAAGCAGATCACCAGGCCTTTCTTTCGTGGTACTGCTGGGTGGGTTTGAACACCCGACCTTTCGGTTAGCAGCCATGCACAAACCGTTTGTGCTACCCAGAGACCTTTCTCAAGGTTAGCCTCTTGTTTATATCATGCCAACCAAAAACTACAGACAACAACCCATTGCCGCTGAGTCAGCTCCGACTCATGGTATATCCTAGTCAACTCTGACTCATGGCGTATCCTAGTCAACTCTGATTCATGGCGCATCCCAGTAATTAAAAGTTTGACTACTACTTTCACTTTAGGTCTTTGTTTTAAGACCAGTTTGTGGGACACTGTTGGCTCAGCTCACCTCTCAGCTCAGCTCAGATCTTTACGACAACCTTTTGGCTGCTAATCGAAAGGTTGGCAGTTAGAACCCACCAGTGGCGCCACAGAAGAAAGCCCTGGTGATCTGCTCCTGTACAGATTCCATAACCCGTTACTTTCAAGTCAATTCCCACTTGTAGCAACCCCATGTGACAGAGTAGAACTGCCCCAGAGTGTTTCCTAGGCTGTAATGTTTATAGGAGCTAGATCTCTAGGTCTTTCTTCTTGGAGCCGCTGGGTGGGTTCGAACTGCCAACCTTTCAGTTAGCAGCCAAGTGCTTAACCACTGCATAACCGGGACTCCACCAGTAGAGATGAGAGCCAAGAAAATCCCATGGGGCAGTTCTATCCTGTAACACGTGGGGTTGCCATCAGTCAAAATCAACTCAACAGCACCTAACAAGAACCAAAACCACAAAAAAAACAAGTTGCTGTCGAGTCGATTCCAACTCACAAAGTCCGTACAGGACAGAATAAAGCTGCCCCATAGGGTTTCCAAGGAGCAGTTGGTGGATTTGAATGGCCAACCTTTTGCTCTGCAGGGAACTCTGAGAGCTTTACATGCAGAAACCAAGATGCAGAGATTTCTCCCCAATCACATGGCTATTGGGAAGCAGAGCCAAGATCTGTGGCTACAGTTGGGACCCAGAGGCAGATGTTTGTTAAACAGAAAGAGGAGGAAAGATGAAAAGAGAAATCAAGGTGTGAAAATGACCCTGTCCCTACCTCGAGTTTTATGTACACCATCTGCTTCCTGCTGAAATGAAGTGCTTATTGAGATTTATTACAAAACTAGTGTGCCTGTCCTACTTTGGTGAGTAGCGTCTGTGGTCTTAAAAGCTTGTGAGCAGCCATCTAAGATACATCTACTGGTCCCACCCCATCTGGAGCAAAGGAGAATGAAGAAAATCAAAGACACAAGGGAAAGATTAGTCCGAAAGACTAATGGACCACAACTACCATGGCCTCCACCAGCCTGAGTCCAGCACAACTAGATGGTGCCCGGCTACCACCACTGACTGCTCTGACAGGGATCACAACAGAGGGTCACAGACAGAGCTGGAGAAATATGTAGAACAAAATTCTAACTCACAAAAACAGGCCAGACTCACTGCCTGACAGAGACTGGAGAAACCCCAAGAGTATGGCCCCCGGACACCTTTTTAGCTCAGTACTGAAGTCACTTCTGAGGTTCACGCTTTAGCCACCAATTAGATGAGGCCATAAAATAAATAACACAGGTACTTCAACCATGTATACGAGACGAAGAAATAGGCACACCAGCCCGGGGGTAAGGACGAGAAGGCAGGAGGGGACTGGAAAGCTGGATGAATGGAAATGCGGAACCCAAGGTAGAGAACAGGAGAGTGCTGACACTTCATGGGGTTGGTAACCAATGTCACAAAAAATTTGTGTATTAATTGTTTAATGAGAAACTAATTTACTCTGTAAATTTTTCACCTAAAGCCAATAATAAAAAAAGGAAAGAAATCAGGAGAAAAAAATTGGTGAGGTAATTTCCCTCCATTGATATTAAACTTGTCTATTCCATAATTTGGAGCCCTGACAGCATAACGGTTAAAGAGCTCGGCTGCTAATCCAAAGGTCAGCAATTCAAATTCACCAGCCAATCCTTGGAAACCCCATGGGGCAGTTCTGTTCTGTTCTGTAGGATCACTATGAGTCGAAATTGACTTGATGGCAATGGGCTTGTGTTTGTTTTGGTATTCCATAATTTAAAATAACAAAAAAGGACTGTGTCTGGGTTTAGGATCTACAGGGAGAAATTTCTAACTTAACCACCTGAAGTCAATGACTTCTATAAGCCAGCTTCTAAGAACCCTAGATCCACTAGAATCTTCAGAAGGTTACCTTGATCTGTCCTTGACCAATGACATGTTTATATAAAAACTCGATAAAGTAAACGTTACACTCTAGGTTCACTGTAGCACCGACCGACCTTTGTTTCATCGAGCTCTTTGGCGTAACTCAAAGAAAGACTTGAAATCTGAGAGGGAGGGGGATGGTTTAGGCCGCCCTTTTGGATCTCAAATGGCATTAACGAGCCAGCTGCGCCTTGTTCGCATGACCATTGTAACAGTCACTACGTGGTTGGTGACAAGTAGCCCCTGTCGCTCACTGAGCGATGGATATGATGTCATCCTCCTTGTCACACCCACAGAAAGGAAATGTCCCACAGCAGGACTGTAACCACGGTTTCCAGATGCTGTTGAACACGGACAACTGCTGGGGTACAGGCGTTAGAGTCCTACCATGTTCCTTGACCGCTGCCTCGATTTTCTTGACCACAGAGTCAAAGAGCGCTTCATAGTCAGGGTTAAGAGGTTGGGCTTCTGAAGGGTCCCTTGAGATGTCGAAGAGCAGTGGTGGGTCATGGTAGTTGACGTCCCCGGAACACGAGCACATCCCGCTTCCGTAACAGGCTGCAGCGCCCTCTGGGTGGAATTTTGGAGTCACATAATGAACCTTCCACGTGGTAGCACCTGGGAAACCATAGCTCCATCATAATGATGTAATTTGTGATGGTGATTTGGGGACTCATTCCATTAAAAATATTTTCCTCAAAAGACCACACTTACTGGCCTAACAGAGACTGGAGAAACCCCGAGAGTATGGCCCTCGGACACCCTTTTAGCTCAGTACTGAAGTCACTCCTGAGGTTCACCCTTCAGTCAAAGGTTAGACAGCCCCATAAAACAAAACGAGACTAATGGGACACAACAGTCCAGGGACAAGGACTAGAAGGCAGGAGGGGACAGGAAAGCTGGTAATAGGGAACCCAAGGTTGAGAAGAGACAGTGTTAACATGTCGTGGGGTTGGCAACCAATGTCACAAGACAATATGTGTACTAATTGTTTCATGAGAAGCTGGTTTGTTCTGTAAACCTTCATCTAAAGTACAAAAAAAAATTTTTTTTTTTCTCAAATGCTTTCCGTACCAGCTGAGTTATATAGCAGCAGAGTGGTATAGCAACAGGGGCATTTCATCAAACAGAAGGACAATGAACGATTTTACCGAAAACTTGAAGGGTTTTCTTTTCAGCCTATCGTGAGAACTTTTGGAGAGAAGAGTTTCTACCCGAATGGCCATTAACCAAATACACCTGTTGCGACCGAGTCGATTCCGACTCACGTCAGCCCCGTGTAGAACTGCGCTCTGTAGGGTTTTCCGCTGTGAGTCAGAATTGGCAATGGGTTTTGTACACACACCACACACATACACACATTGTGTGCACACACATCACACACATACACTCACACACACGCCACACACAAGCATACACACACTTTCACACACCACACACACCACACACAACATACACACATAAAACCTGAAAAAAAAAAACCAAACCCCTTGCCATTGAGACTGACTCCTAGCGACCCTATAGGACAGAGTAGAACTGCCCCGTAGGGTTTCCAAGGAGCGGCTGGTGGATTCGAACTGCCAACCTTTTGGTGAGCAGCCAAGCCCTTAACCACTGCGCCACCAGGGCTGCACATATACATATACGCACACATATATACACGTATGTACACACACATTCATATGCACATACCACACGTATACACATGTACAAACACACACATTCATACACACGCACTCACACACACACGATACACACACCACACAAGCACACACACACACCATAACACACACACACACCCCTCTAAAATCCTTTTGTAGCCACAATGTCTGCCTAAGCCACTTTCCTCCCGAAAAGACCGACCGTGGCTGGGGGCTGTGTGCGCATGGTGTGACTTCCCCCGAGAGCAGGAGGAGACGGGGCTGAGCCCCCTCTGCCCGCTTGTCTGCCGTCCCCATACTCACAGTCCCGTTGGTGCCACCTCACTGTGCGCAGGTAGACCCCGCAGTAGTGGGAGAGGAACTCGTGGTCCGAGTGGGAGACCCTGCCTTCCAGCAGGGGCATCAGGTTCCTGCCGTCAATCACCCTTAGGGAGCGTGGGTAACAGAGAAGGTGGTGAGAGGAGCCTCTTCTGTTCCCGCAG